GCTTCCTAAATGGGGATACTACTTGTGACAGCGCTTCTTCATAGGGTTATTGTGAGGTTTAAACTAGATCAAGTATACACAGAGCTTTGTAAAGCTTCGAGGACTACACAAATGTCATCTTAAATTGTTTGTAGAAGTAATTATAATTCTTTCCATTCCTAAAAAGTTTTGGGAAGGGAGGCAGGCAGAATTCTAACATCCTTACAATTAGTTTTTGGATGATGGACTTCCTCTTGCTTTTCTTCCCAAAACTTTTTACCCAAACTAGTTCATCTGTGGAACATCTTTGACTCAACAATGCTGATTGATCACAACCATTATCTAGTCTGGACTTATATCAGATGAGGTGAACTACTCAGTAGATTGAGAAATTCCAGTTCTACATCTATACTTCTATGATTATACTGTCTTTACCAAGCAGACAGTCAGTGGGGGTATTATATCTATCTATCTATCTATCTATCTATCTATCTATCTATCTATCTATCTATCTATCTATCTATCTATCTATCTATCTATATTAAAATATAACTTACTGGTGGATAATATTGCTGCCAAGGCCCAAGTGCAATGACCTGCAGACAGGGACCTTTGCTTTACGTAACAGGTATGCTTTTAATACGTTGTTGACAATTTCACAAGAGAAGGGCTCACTTCATTATTTTTTTATAGTCAAGAAAAACAGATTTGTGTTATATTGGTCGTGTCTCATTCTAGAGTCCATTACCTTTCACTAAGAGGAAGGAGACATGTTTTATCATGGAGTTGACTGGTCATTGTATTGATCAGAGTTCATAAATCTTTTAGTTATTTTCCTTTGCAGTGTTGTGGCTATTGTACAGTTGTTTGTTGTTGTTTTACTCACTTCACTTAGCATCAGCTCACATGAGCATTTTCAGGTCTCTCTGAATCCGTCCCTTTCTTCATAGCACAGTAACATTCATTTAACACTAGATTCGTTTAACAATTTATTTAGCCTTCCCTAGTGGATAGGAATCTATTGTTTCCAGAGTAGGTAGATAACGAAGTGAATAGAGTGCTGGGCCCTGTCAGGAAGACTCATCTTTATGAGTTCAAATTTTGCCTCAGATACTAGCTGTGTGACCCTGGACAAGTCACTTAGCCCTTTTTGCCTCAGTTCGTTATCTGTAAAATGAGCTGGAGAAAGAAATGGCAAACCACTCAGTATCTTTGCCAAGAAAATCCCAAATGACATCATGAAGAGTTAGACATGACTGAAATGACTGAATAACAAATTGTTTCTAGTTCTCTTCTACAACAAAAAATGCTGCTATATTTTTGTACATGAGTCCTTTCATCTTGTTTTTGCTCTCTTTGGGGATTATATGCCTAGAAGTGAATCAGAGTTTAGTGACTTTTGGGACATACTTCCAAATTGCTTTCCAAAATGGTTGGACCACTCCACAGTTTCATCAATAGTGTTATTAGTGTCCCCATCCTCCCCCAGTTCTAATTTCCTTGTCATCTTTGCCAATCTATGTGTATGAGATGGTAACTCAAACATGCCTTAATTAGCATTTCTTTTATTAATTTTTGGAGTATATTTTTCATGATTGTTGGCAGCTTGGATTTCTTCTGTTGAAACCTGTTCAAATCCTTTGGCTATTTATCTATTGGAAAATGGCTCTGGTTTTGATATATTTGTATCAGTTCCTATGATTATTAGACCTTTGTCAGAGATATTTGCTGCTAGGACTTTTGTCTCTTAACTGTTTCCCTTCTAATGACATTACATTGTTTGGGCAAAACTTTTCAATTTCATGTAATCAAAATTGTGCATTTTACCTCTCTTTCTCTTGTTTGCTCAAGAACTCTTCTATCTAGAGGAAAGCATCACTTTCCCTTCTCCAATATATTTTTATGGCTTTTTAAATACTGGTCCATTTGGAGCTTATTGTATAGTGGTGTATATGTTGATCTAAGCTTAATTTCTAAGTCAGACTTTTTTCTTTCAAACTTTCACAGCAGTTTTTATCAAAAAATAATTTCTTACCCCATTAGCTGGTGTTCTCAGGTTTACCAAATTACATTGAGTATGTTATTTGAATGGAACGCTACTTGAATTATTTATTAAGTATTTATTCTGTGGCAGGCCCTGTACTAAGTGCTGAGGATTCAAGTACAAAGAATAAAACAATGCCTACTATAAGGAGCTTTTATCATAATGGAGGAGACAAGTACATATATAAATATATACATATCATAAATATAAAGTAAATAAACACATCAGCATACAAAGCAGTTCAATACAAGATAGTTTGGGAGGGACAGCAAAGGCAGTTGGGGCATCAGAAAGGGCTTTGAGCACAAGTTAGGACTTGAGTTGCATAATGAAGAAAAATAAATACTAAGCATGTAAGATGATCAGGACAAAGGCACAGAGAAGGGGAATGGAGATGTGATAGAAGAAAAGGCCAATTTGGCAGTATTGCACAGTGTGAGGGGGAGTATGAAGCTGGAAAGATAGGTTGATGACAGGTTGTGCAGTACTTTAAAAGCTAAATGAAGAGTGATATCATCAGATCTGTACTTAAGGAGAATTACTATGTGCAGTATATAGCAACGTGTATGATGAACTGGAGTTGTGAGAGCCCAATTAGGAAGTTTTTGCAATAATCTGGGTGAGAGGCAAGGATGGATTACGGTGAGTAGAAAGAAGGGGTTGTGTACACAATATCAGCCATGTTGTGTGATGACTAATATTGATAAACTAAACCACTCCCAGCAATACAAAGATCCAAGACATCTCCAAAAGCCTCATGATGGAAAATGCTATCCATATCCAAAGAAAGAACTATGGAATTTGAATGCAGATTGAAGCATACTATTTGCTATTTTTTTTCCTCTTCTGTTGAGTTTTGTTTCCTCTTTCTGGTGGTTCCTCCTATTGATTCTGATTCTTACTTACAACATCACTAATGTGAAAATATGTTTAATAGGAATGTATATGTATAGCCTATATCAGATTGTACACCGTCTTGGGGAAGGTAGTGGGGCAGAAGGGGGAGAAAAATTTTAAACTCAAAAGCATATGGAAGGGATTATTGATAAATCAAAATAAATTAATTTAAAAAAAAGGGGTTGGATGGAAGAGATGTTGTAGAGGGAGAAATGGCAAGACTTGGCAATAGATTGCAGATGAGCTAACGAAAATTGAGGAGTTGAAGATAATGCCGAGGTTATGAATCTGAGAAACTGGATGCGTGGTGCTGACTTGAATAAAAATATCTGTTTGGAAGGTTGAGGGCTTGGGGGAATCAGTAGTTGTTTTGGATGTGTTGAATTCGAGATGTCTCCATGGAAATACAATTTGAAATGTCCAATAAGCTTGGAAAAAGACTGCGTCTGGGTATATAGATCTGAGTCACTGGCATAGAGATAAAAGTTAACTTAGAGTTTCGTTTATTGAGAGAGAAAAGGGAAAAAAGGGACTGGGAGAGAATAATGGGCAACATGCACCTTTATGGAGTATGTTGTGATGAGTCAGCAAAGGTGACTGAGAGGAAATGATCAGACAGATAAGAGGTTAACCAGGAGAACACCATCATAAAAAACCCAAGAGGAGAGAGTCTCCAGGAGAGGGTGATCAACAGTGTCAAATGCAGCACATACATTAAGAAGAATAAGGACTGAGAAAACATCATCACATCTGGCAATTCAGAGATCACTGTTAACTTTGGAGAGAGCAGTTCCAGTTGAGGAATGAGACTAGTTGCCAGACTGCAAAGTCTTAAGGAAAGGAGGCAAACTAGAGGCAACAATTATAGACAGCATTCTCCAGGAGTTTAGCTGAGAAAGGAGAGATATAGGATGTTAGCTTGAAGGGATGATAAAGTCAAGTGGCTTCTTAAGTATGGTGGACACTTGAGAGTACCTTCGAAGGCAACAGAGAAGGAACCAATAAGGAGGTTGAAAATTCTGATTGCAGGATGGATTAGAATTCTTGATACAGGCAAAGAACAAGTTTAGGAGGGATGTGGCATAGGGAGGGGTAGAATGGTATGAGATTATGGTGAGATAGAGGTCAAAGTTTCTACTTAGGGAAGTGGTATACTTGTGGGCAACAGTAAAGTATAGTATATGATCACTCCTGTATGGCTGAGGTAGAATAAAGGAGCAGGTCATACGTTTAAGGAAGCTAAGGAATTAGATCAGAGGATCTGAGGAACAGGTAGAGAGTAGTTTTGATTCTTGACTTTTCTGATCAGAAAAAAATGCAATAGTCACATAATGCTCTCAATGTATTTTATTTTAAATATTAAAAATATTTCAGGTCCTCTAGTACAAAGGCTGTTTCCCCTCTTCATATAAATTTATATATTTACATATTTAAATTTAAACATCACTGAATAATACAGTTAAGAAATGATTTAGAAGTGGAAAAAAATTTGTTTCAAACAGTATACATATAAGAGACTCCAAATATTCTCATTTATATACATGATGAAAGACTTGTTTCCAAAAATATACTTTTGTTCTGATATCACCAAGAAATTTCTGTGTTAAATTATTTAAAGGCTTGATCAATCTAAGACCTAACTCCAAGGGGTCCTCAGCAGAATATTTTAGGTGTTTTAAAAATAAAATGACAGAAATCCTTACAACAGAGTTCCATGTGACTCAAAGGAATAATAATGGAGGTGCTTGTCAATACTGACAAGGTTAATTATAAAGCAGAAGTGCTGGGGGGAAAAGGAGATTAGAAAACTGAGGAAGATATAGGCTATACATCAGGACAAAACTAAATTCAACCAACATTTATTAAGCACCTACTATGCATAGAACACTGTCCTAAGTGAGATACAAATTTTAGATAAGACACATTCATTTACATCATTGGTAGAGTATTAGCTCACAGCAATGAAATAACAGATTTGTGAAATTATCAAAGTATAGAAACAAGGAGCAAAGAACGTCTTCAGCAGTAATAGGAGAGAGCAGCCAGGTTAAAGTTAGAGATATTCACTATCACTCAGAAAAAGCATTCAGGATTTCACTTTTATTAAATCTTCAATACCAGATTCCAACCACACTTTTAGTTTCAGTAAAAGCCTTCCCCTCTGACTTGTTTCTCAAAAGAGGTATTTAAAACACTTGAGGGAAACAATGGATACATTCAGACTCCTTTACTATATATTAAAGTAGAAACCCAGCTGTGATAATAAAAAGAACATAGTAATTTAAACTGAAATACTGCTTCCAAAGGAGAAATACTATAAAATATACCAACAGGTGACACATTAGCAGAGGATTAAAAGAGCAAGGAATAGTTTTTGGCTGCCTTGGCTATATCTCTATTTTTAAAGGCATAACTGGAAAAGTACCCCTTCCACCCTCACCCCCACCCCAATAAAGACTGAAGTGTCTACAAACACATCCCGTATCAAAAAAGAAGCAAAACCTGACTATTTAACTGATATCCGTTTTAGTGTTTGGTTTTATATTGTACCCTTGATTCTAGAGACCATTTATGCTGCTGTTTTCTAGGGGTTTATTTTCAACATCTAATCAGAACAAGATTTTTAGTGTGGACAGACCAGATGCTGCAGTTTAGAAGTGCTACAATATGATTGTACATTCCCTACCTGCCACCTCCCTACCCCATTCTCTGAAATTATGATAACCCATTTTTTTTCTACGTAGGGCAGGGTTCTGTTCTGTTCAATAGCAGTACACTTACACAGCCTGCAGCTTCCTGAGCCTACAGTAGAAAAGATTTTGCAGGACATTTCGGCTACAAAGTTCTTAAAAATGAAATAATGGATATAACATATTCCAATCCTTCCTATCCTCAGATGTAGGGGCAAAACACCTAATAGAAAGGAAAAAATATTGGAAGAAGAAGGTTCCAAGTTAGGATGGAAAAGTTCTTGCAAATTATCTTATATTGACAGTAAAGTACCAAATAAATGAATTATAAAGGCAGATCTTAAAATACATCTTTTATCAGTAAGAGGAATGTCAACCAGCAGTGTTCTAATACACTTTAAATATCAACATGGAATGTTTGATTAAGTATTTAAACAAAAACTCCTTGGGACACCAGATTTACTCAATCTATCATTACTACCGCATTTGTTGAATAATCAATCCTTTCTGGAAAGTCTTTTCTAAAAGGGAAAAAAAAATAAAGATGTTTCACTGAACCAGAAGAAAGCAACATTAAATATTAGATTTAACACTGAGTATTCAAGCGTCACTTGGTTGCTAATGCCACAAATAAATCTAAGATTGGGGGAGGAGGGGGAGAGAAGATAGAGCTTTCATATTTATTTGGGGGGGGTGTCTTAGGATTTTTCTACAACCCAGTTCTGTTCTGGAAAGCCCATCCTAATTATACTCTAACAATTTGACTAAGTGTCTTAACTTTTTTTTAACCTAATCATGGCACTTGTACTGAACTGTTACATTAATGCAAAAATTCACTTGAAATTAAAATGCTTTTTCTGTACACAAAGAATTAAAACTGAGATGAGAAGAAAATGCTTTCTAAAACTAGAACTTTGGCTGAATTGGATACAGAAAGTTTTTAATGTTCTTATAAAAAGAAAAACTACATATACCCTTGAGAAAATGATGCAATTAGAACTACATTTCAAAACTTAAGGTGGGTTTTTTTTTATTATTAATGAAGAGGCAGACTAAAATATTTGAAATGTCTGCACTAAGATGGCATTTGGGTAGGAAGAGTCTCTGGGATTAAGAGCCCAAGACTGAGTTAGAGACAGAAGAGAATAAAATCATTAAAAGATCAGTTTTATTTCTACTGAGATAGGTATGTATATGTCACCATGGAAACAAGACCAAATATCTCCATTGTACAAAGTAGATGAAAGTCCAGATGAAATAGACTGTCATACAAAACTGAAATACAATACTGTCATGTTTGTCACTAGCAAGTTTTCAAGATCACTAGAAAATGACAGAGTATTAGTTCCCAAGTCACTCCATTGATAGGGAGAAAAGAAAACCCCAGAATACTTCAAGAGGTAGAAGAAGTGATTCCTTACTATGCCAACTCACTTTATCAGGCAACATGATTTTCTGGCTGGGTGTCACAAACAGCAAATACCACAATAATTTAGTTGTTTAGTGAACACAGGAATCAAACCAAGTTTCAACAAAATGCATTGAAATAAAAGCATACTGGCACAGTGCACGAGCTATTTGCTGCTAGAAGCTTGGGTCAAGAGGGAAAGAAATTTTTGTGGTCTTGGATTAGTCTGTGCTTCTTTGTCATTCATAAAGTCATTTTTAATGACTTTTTAATAGTAAATTCCTTAAAGAGTAAGTATATGAAAGGTGATCATCACCCTGGTCAAGGTAAGTGGGTTCTTCAGTACTTCAGCCAGTGATATCTTTCTCACAAATGTGCCAGTGAGATCAAAGGATATCAAAAAGATAAAGAGCCACAACATGGATTTCCTGACACTATAAAGATGGTTATACATCATAATGTGCATAAAAAATAACATAAATAAAATCAAATCAGGGTTAAAATTTGAAATGAGGGAAAAGTAATAACCTCATATTCTTAAGGCAAATATAGGTCCTTTTGAGGAGACACTTAAATCCACAGACGATAAAATCCCAGAGCTACCGTTAGGCATGTAAATATAGAACCTGTTTTAAAAAAACAACAACAGGGAAAGACTATTAGTTCTTTTAACAGCTGCTTTAAGGAATGCTTAAATACACATACATAACCTTTTTCTCTCCCCACAGAAAACTAGCAGTTCAATGATCCGATCTGCTATATTCCATGAAATATTTGCTCATAAAAACTACAGCTGCTCAAATGTAAGCACAAAAACAACACTACTTGTAACCTCCAAAGTATAAAGGAATTTTTTTTTTAACAGAAAAAACCCTTGAGACACCAAATCCGGTGTATAAAAATTAGTATAGCATAATTTATAGCAGGCCTGCAGTAGTGAGAGCAAAATTTTATTTCTAAGTGGTTAAACTTTAAGATAATTAAGGATTTATAAGAGATAAAAATCCTAAATCAGTGCTGTTTTTCTTCTTTGTGGTTTTATTTTTGGGGCTTATCTTCAAATTATTTTTAATAGCTAAATGCAGAACATCTTACCTGCTAAATATTTAATATTATCAAGCTTGTGTGATTCAAGCATGGTTTTCAGGCCAGCAACTTCAGTGTCTATCTTTCTGTCTGTCTGAGTAAGAGCCCGGAGTTGTTGTGCCTGCTTTAAAACAAAGAGATACAGGACATTATATAACTACAGGTTATCAGGTCCCATTGAACTCATACATCTAATTTAAGAAGCTTGACCTAACTCTATTACACTGCAGGAGGCAGTATTGTCAGTATATCACCATGGATAGAATGCTGGGCTTGGAAGTGCAGATGACCTGCACTCTCATCTTGTCTCTAACACTGTTACAAAAACTCTGAGCCTCAGTTTCTTCACTTAGAGAGATTATCTCCAGGAATATTATAGGGTACACATGTAAGAATATATAAATAGTACTTTCAAAAACTTTTGAGAATCCTCCCAGCATACATGTCTAGTTTCTACCACATTTTTGAATATACTGTGCTCTAATTTGTCTATGAACCCTGATTCCTTAATTAGAATATGAGTGTAATAAGGGCAAGGACCATTTCTTTGCTTTAAAAAAACAAACAGTCCCTACAGTAATGGCCACAGAAGAGACAACTCAAAATACTTATTTGAAGCTAATCTGAAAACAAGAGTGCTGTCTTGCTATTTTGTCTTCTCAAATTTTCTAACATTACTTATATATAAACTTGTATAATATATAAACTTATATAACAACAGCACAACCTAAATGGCTGCTCATTATGTGGTTTGCATACACAGATATATTGAAAGTTAAGCCTGATTACAAAATAACCCATAAAGGTTAGTCATGAAAATACTATGTTCCTACTGAATTTACTTATTCATAATGAAACTGAATTTTTACAAATGCTGATGGGTGGTGAGCAGTTTTATACTGCTACCCTTCTGATATAAAATAAAGAAAATCTGGATAAGCAGTTTCTATTAGGCATCAATGTACCACAATTCCTTCATATGGACTAAAAAAACCCCTTTTGTTCCAAAGGGGGCATTCAGCTTCAAAACTAAAATACTACCTATCATTTATACTGCACTTTAAGATTTGTAAAAGCACTTCAAATGCTATTTCATTTGATCTAACAACAACCCTGGGAGGTAAGTGTTATCACAGCACCTACAGCTAAGGAAACTGGCTCTGAAAGAGGTTAAGTGACCTGCCTAGGGTCACACAACTAGTGTCTGAGGCAGGGTTTGAATTCAGGTCTTCCTGACACCAAGTCCAGCACTTTATCCATTACTTGATCTAGCAGTCAACACACAAATAAATTTGATTGTGCTCTAGTTGGGGGTTGAGGAGGTTGGGGTCAACTCCACTTGAATTAATAAGTTTACAATCATAACCCTTTCTTTCATGGTCAGATTTTTAATTTGGTGAAAAAATCAGGATATAGAAGTGGAGGGAGAGGGAAGCTGCCTTTTGGAAACAGAATAATCATCTTTCAGAAAAGGAAGGTTCTCCCTGATGCTTAGCACCAATTATTGTTGAATATTCATGTCCAAATGGTTCAGGCAGAGATAGGGATTATTTATTTATCATTTGAATTTCATGACACACTTAGACTTTAAAGAGGGGTCTCACTAAGAACCAGCTAAATATGAAAATAAAAAGGTATAAGAAAACAATTAATAGGATCAAAAAGTGAAACAAACAACAAATAAGGCTCTTTGTATCACCAACCCCCAACAATTATCCTCAAAACCCCAGTGGGGAAGTCATTCTTCCCTGGATACTTCAAACAGGTAATAATTAGTGTCTGGCTTTCCAATAAAATTATAAGTCTAGTACCTATCCAGTTTTCTTTTTTTTCTTTTTAAGTGGAAGGTATTATTCACTGTGGAGATAGCAGAATAGATGATCTTTAAAAATACAAATTGTTCTTACTAAAGTTTTTTCAACTCTATTCAGGAATTCCTCAATCCTGAGCCACTGGTTCAATTGGTAACAGAACTCAGGTAAAAAACCCAATCATTTGATTCAAAAAAGTAGCTGACATTTATAAAAATTTGGAGTTTATAAAGGTTTTTTTTTAAACCTATATTACCTTACTTGAATTCATAACAATTCTGTAAAGCAGATGCTGTTATGATTCCCATTTTACAGATAGGAAACTAAGGTTCAGTGAAGTTCAGTGACTTCTACATGGAAGTCTAATAAGTGTCTGAGGCAAAATTCAAATCCAAGTCTTCCTGACTGTAACATCAGCATTCCATCCAATATCCCATTCTGCCTCTCTTAATAATTCAGTCATTAAGCTGTCCTAATATAATGCAATGAAATATCCTGGAATTCAACTACTAACAGAAATTGACTATGGGGATTCACGAGGCCCTCAAGCAGACTAGAGTGAAGTCCTGTTCAAAGTGTTAATATCGTAATGGTTCTGTATTATTATGTAATAATGTTATCATCAGAAGCATTACTCAGAATGACTCACGAGGCAAATACATTTGTGCATACAATAAATAATAACAGATGACATTTATAGTGCTTTAAAATTTTCTAAATTTTTCATATATATTATATCCTACTTATGCATCCATACTCAAGTAAGTATTGTCCTAAGAGTATACTACAGAACAGCTGGCCATTAGAAGGAAATAGATAAGGAGTATGGGAAACAATATGTATGAGGCAGCTAGGTGGTACTTAGAGTGCTGGACTTGAAGTCAGGAAGATTCATCCTAATGAGTTCAAATCTGGCCTCAGACACCCACTAGCTGTGTGACTCTGGGCCTATCCAGTTTTCTATAACATAAAAGCAATTTCAACCAGCCATTTTCCCCACTCATCTTCATGCAGGATTAGTAAATGTCAGCTTAAAAATAACCCATAGGAAACAGATTCTATTTTATTCAGTTCCTTTTCTTAAAAAAAAAGTTTTATTGATTCATTTTGAATCAACTCATTGATTCATTGCTCATTTTGGAAGTAAAGAACCCTCTCTGATAAACTTGCAACTAAGCAAAAACATCAATATTAATCATGTCCTTTCGTTTCATTCTTCATTTCTAAGGAGACATGGATTGTACGCCCAACAGGATTCACATATCTTTGCTTTTGAGTTATTTCAGCCACTAAAGTCATTTTCAAATTCTGAGGCTCTACAATCCTCATGAACTTCATTTTGGAATTTGATTCCACAAGATGCACTAGGAGACATCATGGAAAGGAAGAAAAGCAGGAAGAATCTCTTGATAATCCCTTTTGTAAACCAGTACAAAAGCTACATAATGTTTGTTAGTAATTAAGAAGGATTTTGCATCTTTAGGATCTGATTCTACCGTCACGAACCTGAGAGTTCATAATTTTACCACAGACACACTAGTTATTATCCATTAACATATTAGAACAGGAGGCAAAGGTGAATTTAAGATACAACAGAACAATGCTCAGTTTCACTTCTTACCAATGTTAATACTTCCGATCTCATTTCAAGTAGCTTCCTTTCATTCAATGCATACTGAAAAGATAAAATTTAACTTGTGTTAGACTACAACTTCATTCCTGTTTATCTCTTGCTCTAGTATCATAATTAATATTGTGACAGAGTGCCAGGCTTGGAGCCAGGAAGACTTATCTTCCTGAGTTCAAATCTGGCCTCAGACATTTACTAGCTGTGTGACCCTGGACAAGTCACTTAACCCTGTTTGCCTCAGTTTCTCACACACAAAATGAGTTTGAGAAGAAAATGGCAAACCACTCTAGTATCTTTGCCAAGAAAATCCTAAGTGGGGTCACAAAGAATCAGACACAACTTAAAACAACAAAGCATTTTAGAATCACCTGAGGGCATAGGAACAATCATATTACTTTTGTCTAGGGATGCACTTCCCAATACTCTGGAATCTTTTTCTCTGACTCTTAGGGCTATATTTACTCTCATTTCTCCTTTAAGGATTTAATTTTTGGGGAGAATGAAAAGGTGGGGAAGAACAATCCAAGACACACTGGATGTTGGCAAATCAGGTGGCTGAGGCCTGGACAGAAAGAATGGCGGGAAAACAGGTGTTGAAAAAATTAGTATATGTGTTATCTTTGGAATCTTAGATGAATTAGTTCACTACTAACCAATGTGAAGGCAGTGGATTGCAGTAGAAAAAGTCTTGGATTTGGAGTTAGTTCAAATAATTGCTTTGTCACTTATTAGCAATATGAGCAAAGCCAGGAATTTAATTCAAGTCTTCTGACTGCAAATCTATGAGCATGGGGATCTTTTCTCTCTCTCTCTCTCTCTCTCTCTCTCTCTCTCTCTCTCTCTCTCTCTCTTTTTTTTAGGCAATTGGGGTTAAGTGACTTGCCCGGGGTCACACAGTAAGTGTCAAGTGTTTGTTCTGAGGCTGTATTTGAACTCATCTTTTCTCTCTTTTTAAAAAAATAAATGTTTACTGATTAAAAAAAAAGTACATGTTGATTTATATGCCAAATCACACAAATTTCATGACTTATTAAATATACTTAACTCATATAATCACAGTGAGAGCAAAACAAGACTTTCTTCACCTGTCAGGTGTCAAGTTTTTGTAACAAGAACCATACTATAGTTATAGTTGATGCTACTTTGTACTGAGTGACAATACTTAGAACTAAGCTTGTATTTTCCCTTTGGCCATAGTTTAGTACAGTTTTTTGGCTTGCAGATTATATTTAGTCATATCACTCAAGTGACTGGAATTCTTGAAATGAGGATACAGAAGAGACAATTTGTACTTTTGGTGGTAAGTGGAAATAATTTAGTTAACTTTTTTTCAAACATCATATGAAATGCCTAATATTTTAAAAAAAATTCACTATATTTTCTATCTGTAAAGAATAAAAAAACAAGAATCAGGTTAGTGATGAGGAGGGGGCCCCAAACTAAAAGGAATCTTAGAAGCACTTAGCAGCCAAGTATGATGAATAGATAATGGTTACTCTCATCTTTTAAGCTACAAGTTCAGTGCAAGGAAGCTCACTACCAGAGGGCAACATTTTTCTAGCATTTGTTTACTGCTCTAGCCTTAACCAATTAAATATTAAGAAGTCTCCTTTTCATGAGAATATACCACATTGCTTCACTTATTATCCAAGAGGAAGGGGATAATCAGCTGAAGAATAATAATAAAAGTAATCTAATCTGTTTGTATTCAGCTAACCTAATTAGCTAACCAATAACTTCACGGAAAAATACAACTACACTGATGGCTTCAGCTGAAAAATAACAAGGGCAGACCTTCAAGTAGGGAAAAATTAGTTCTCTACATTTCATCAGTTTTGTCCACGTTTTCAGTACTGCAAGTGCTTTGTAGATCAGGCTGGATCAAAGAACAGGCTGCCTGCAAGTAAATACAGTTTCTTGCAAAATCATGAAAACCAAAAGGTACAAGAAAGAAGTATGTTGTTCTTTAGAAACTGATCCTATGCTAATGGCCACTTTGCACATAGTAGGTATTTGAAATATAGCTGGCACTTAGACTCCCAGTCATGGCACTAGGTTAAAAAGTGACTGTCCTTTGGTCTCAAAGATACACAGCCTCAGTATATATGAGAAAATCACGAAGAGGAAAAAACAAGAGCTAATAATTACTCTTCAGTTTTGTGTGTACCAAGTCCTATGCTAATAAAAGACAGTTTAGAAGCATACATTCTTTAGCAAGAAAGACAATGAGAAATGAGCTATGTAGAATTCCTTAGACTTTACTCAGATCACTAAACTATTTTACTATTAAAATATTTAGCTCTTATTAAGTTTAGTAAGTCTGAGGCCAAAGAATATGACTTTGAAAGTAAACACAAAAAGCAACAGTGCTAGTTTACAATTTATATCTTTATTACTCCAGTCTAGTTACCAGTATCATTTAATTTTTTTCTGAAATAGATTCTGAAGATACTTAATCTTATTCAATATAATACTGGAATTAAGTGTAATCCTCATATTAAAGTCTAGGTGACACACTAACAATTTAGAAGTATGCTCTCAATTCAAGTATTTTATCAAAGCATCCAAGCTCAGTTTGACTAAGCTTTAAATTTTCATTCTGTTAACATATGCCAAATTAAATGAAAGAAAAGTTCCTGAAGGTAGAATAAGAATCAATCTGAGAGATATTTTGAAATTTAGAGTACAAGGGGAGTTGAGGAAAGTTTAAAAATTTCAAAAATCAAATAAAAGGCTTTGCCTATATTCAACTCTGCCAGAGTTATGTACAGGATGGTCTTAAATGTTCAAACTTCATGCAAATTCAGGTTTCACCTAGAATTTTAACTTAAAATGAAACTAAATTTCAAAGAACATACCAATTCTTTTACTCTGCTCTTTTCTAGATTGAAATCCAATTTATTATCTGCCCGGACTTTAAGTATTTCATCCTGGAAGGCAAATGAGAGAAAAGAGAGGTGGAGAAAAAACAAACAAAACAAAACATCAGAGAAGGGATGGAATCAAAAGACGGGATGTTACACGCAATTCTACTTAATTAGGTTATTATTTAATCCTTCTATTAAGACAAAGTTCTTTGTTCTTTTACACAGAAATATTCACTATTTAGAATCCAAATAGGAAGAATGGCTAAGTATTCTTTCAAAATACAAAAGAATATATTGCTCAAGAGCATATATGTTCTTTCTAAGGAGTGTTCCCTCTATAACAATTTGAATTACTGCTGGAGAGAGATTAAAGTAGTATTATGAAAAATAACTTTTTAATTTCTTTTGTAAAAGTAAAGAAAAAGTAAAAACATACCTATTACCAAATAGACAAAAGTAATATTCTGCAATAGTTCTAATGAAAGGCAGGTAACATGTAACCTACTCAAACCATTTAATATTCTAAGAACTTATTTTTCATTTTCCTAATCTGGAAAACCGCCTTCAACCCTGCTGCCCACTCCACCAATTGACCAAGTTCCTCCCTAGAATCTCCACTGGGGGAAGTTATCCAACCAGCCACTGTCATTCCTCTCCCAGTTCTGCTCCTCTCTTCGGACTTCTTCACCTCTACACTAGCAGCCTTCTCAGTTCAGAAAATGACTCTGCCCCTTCAGCCCTTTCCTTTAGTAGGTGAATACCTCACCTCCATTTGGTGAAATGCCCAATTCAGCCATGCTTACTGCTCTCCTGGCTCCATTCTTCTCTGGACTTCTCTTCTTGGCTCCCATGTGGATACCACACCATTTCATAAGAATCCCCTCCCCCCACTCCCATTTATATAATGTCTTCTCCTATTAGAATGTAAGCTTCTTTAGGGCAGGGTCTATCCTTCTTTCTTACGTGTATTTGTATTTTCAGCACTTATTAGCACAATGCCCGACATACAACAGGCTCTTAGTGATGCTCTATGTACCTATCTCAGAGGGAAGACATTAGCGATGGAGGGGAGTAGGGGATATTTAGGGGTGGTATAGGAACCAGGAGGAGCTTCCTGCAGAATGTGAGTTTTGAGTTGAGCCTTGAAGGAAGCCAAGGAAGCTAGGAGGCAGAAGTGAGGGGGGGAATATGCCAGGTATAGGGCACAGCCAGTTGTAATGGTAGGATACAGAGTAATGAATATAGGGAAAAGCAAGTAAGCTGGTTTGGCTGGATCATAGAATGCACAAAGTAAAGTGTAAGAAGACTGGAAAGGTAGGAAGGAGCCAGGTTATAAAGAGCTTTAGATACTAAATATATCTGATTCTGGAGGAAATAAGGAGCCACTGAATTATTGAGCAGGGAGGGTAACATGGTCAGACCTATATTTTAGGAAAAATCACTTTGGCAGCTGAGCCAAGGGTGGACTGGAGTGAGAAGACCAGAAGCAGAGAGACCAAGCAGGTTACTGTGATAGTCCAAGTATGAAGTGACCAGGGCCTGCACTATGGTGGCATCAGTATGAGTGGAAATAAGAGAACTTACATGGGAAAAGTTCTGAAGGTAAAAATGTCAAGAGCTGACAACAGATTAAATATGGGGGGGAATTGAGGAATACAGGAAGTCTTAGAAGTTGCAGGTCTATTTACTGAGAGAATGGTAGTGCCTTTAACAGTAATAGGAAAATCTGGAAAATAGGAGTGACTGAGGGAAGGACATGTTGAATTTGAGATGTCTGTTGGACATCTCAAGATGTCTAAAAGGCAATTGGTGATGTGAGACTGGTGCTCAGGAGAGAGGTTAGGACTGAGTACAAATAATCTGGGAATTATTTGTGTATAGAAGATAGTTGAATCCATGGGAACAGATGAGATCAACAACCAAACTAGTATGGAGGAAGAAAAAAAGAGGACAGAGGTTGAGTAACACCCAGTAAACAAATTGGTTTAGCTATATTGAGCTACAGTGCTTCTCTAACATAAAAGGTCATCTCTTTGAAGGTCATCATGCTTTACAAGAAATTTTCAAATATGAGTAAAAATACAAAATCTTGATAAAGAAAAAGCTGAGACTAACCACTGGTTAGTTCCCAATTCCTATTGCTGAGGTCAGTTAGTTTAAACAAACTAAACACCAGAAGGATCAGGCAAGTCAACTGTTGCAAAAATATTATGACTTAAACTTTGAAATAAAAAACACGCATTCTACTATCTTTATTTTCTTTGCCTCATGGGTAAAAAAATGCACGGTATCAATTGATGCAGCTTAGTCTTTTGAGGTATTCTTAAATTCTAGTCCTTCTAGTGTAATAAGAAGTCCTTTTAAAACTATATTTATTAATGACTATTATTACTTATAAAGAATATCTTACCAACATTCGCTGTTTTAACTGGTGGAGTTCAAGTGTTAATTTCTAAAAACATCAAAAAAGAAACAAGTCAAATATAGTAATAAACTAAAGGTTTATAAAAAAAAGAAAAAAAGCTAAAATTCCATTTCTTTCTCCTGAACCAGGATCTTTCCTTTCTTTCTCCTCCAATTTTATGAATATCAGGTTTGTTTAAGACAACTCACTTATGTCAAGATTCCCCTCAATCTAACATATTAACAGTCATACTACTATATTAATTATACAATGTTTCTTGAAGGGGATGTGTACTAATAAATATTAAATAAAAAAATGTTTAGCTGTCTTTTCATGAGAATTTGCCTCTAAGGCTTAGCCTTCCTCTTTTCAGTATCTTACTCAATTTTTTTTCAACTACTCTAGCCCTAGATGTAATCTCAAATTATAGCTTTCAAAGATGCTTTTTCAATAGCTTTAAGTCCAATCATTTGGCTAAAAGGAGAGGATTTATCTCTGAGGCCAGGACCAAAGGAAATAGCCTTTAAGATTTTTTTAAAGAGGAATAAGAGTATACACAGTTGGTAAAGCCCATGAGCTAATAAGCTACAATAAATGTAACATTTTTAGCTAAATGGCAACTTATGAACTAGTAATTATCATAAAGGGCAGTTAGGTGGTGCAGTGGATAAAGCACGGGGCCTGGAATAAGGAAGACTCACCTTTGTGAGTTGTTCAAATCCAGCTTCAGACACCTACTAGCTGTGTGACCCTGGGCAAGTCACTTAACCCTGTTTGCCTCAGTTTCCTCATCTGTAAAATGAGCTGGAGAAGGAAATGGCAAACCACTCTACTATCTTTGCCAAGAAAACCCCAAATGGGGTCACAAAGAGTTGGATATGACTGAACAACAAACAACAACTATCATGGAACTTGGATTTCATACCCTCTAGAGTAGGAGTGAACCCTGTGAACTTAAAAAAAAAATGACAACTATTTCAATAGCACTGGTTTTGTTTATAATCTTATGTATTTTATGCACTGTAAAACATTGTTCTGAAGCGTCCATAGGCTTCACCAGACTGCTTAAGGGGTCCATTACATAAAAAAGGTTAAGAACCTCTGATTTAGAGTATTATGAGATTTATTTTTTCACTGCATAAGGAATTTAAAAACTTACATTAACAATTCAATTTGACAGCAGTGCCTTGCTGTAAAGGGTTTTATAAAAGTAGGAGGAGTTCTATCGGTTTACCTCATTTTCTGCTCTGAGGGTTGAAAATTCACTCTTTTCTAAAATGATCATATCCTTTTTGACACCAGCAATCTGAGACATTATCTGCTGTACAGTGATCTCCTAGGGAAAAAAAAGCCCATACACAATTGACATATATTACCTAGAATGTTCAACTTATCCTCTCTTTGGAGTTTCTGTCAAATGTAAAGCAGACATTTTTTATCCATCTCTAGAAGGCCTGAATGTAACTTGTCAGCTGTTAACCATCATCAAGGGGACAATTAAAATCGTGAAATGGAAAAGTATGTCTAGTTATACTTTTAAGAACAAATACTTGATTTTTGGTCACTTCTAAATTTACTAAAACAAGAACAATAATCTTTTTGTTTTAAAGATTGTATGTCTAGATTAAGAAACATTATCAAACATATGTAAAATGCTTTTCAAATCTTAAAGTGCTACATACATGCTTAGCTAATAAGTATTGGTAGCAAAGCTTTAGAGAAAATTTATCTCCTATTTTCCCTCCTTGCTTCCCAAACCACACCACACCACAGCAACTATGGGAAAAGCAGTTAAGTTTTTGTTTTCAATAGCTGAATTTTCATAGCATTGAACCTCTTTATCTCTGAGGAAACGACTGCTTGGCACTTTTCATTTGAACACAGGTGCCCAATGAATGTTAGTTTCAAAACACAATGTAGGATACTGATACACATATGCATATACTAATTTACTTATTTAAAAATGCATAAAACACCCACAAACCTAGAAGATTTTCCTCTCATCTAACCTGATGCACCTTGGTGACCATATCCTGGCTGACAACCTCCATGTTGTTGTTCATGATCTTCACTAATGAAGAGACAATGATTTCTGCTTGTTGAGTGGTAAACCCTGAGTAAATAAAACAACTACATTCAGGAAAATTCTACGTCTTGGATAAAACCTTAAAAGAAATTTATATCTTACAGCAAAGGCTTTATTTTTTTTATTAGCTTAACTAATATGTGGCTGTGCCTACAGTCACAAGAAAACATTTCTGTGGGTATAAGAAATATATAGGCAATGTAATAATGTAATGGGAAGAATGAACAGGCTTTTATGAAACACTTACGTGCCAGGCACTGGGGGATACAAAGACCAAATAAATAAATAAACAAAATCAAAAGATTCTCTGTCCTCAAAGATCACAAATCTAGAGTGGAAAACGGAATCTGACAAGACAGAGTCTAAACATCTCATTTTAAAGATAAGGAACTAAGGACTAGGAAAATTAAGGGACTTGTCCCAGGTCACACAAGTAGCAAGCATAAAAGGTAGAATTTGAATCCTGGCACCAATGCTTCTTACAGTATTATGAAGAGCTTATACTCTATCTGGGGAAATAGCATGTCTCCATTAAAGTAAATAACAGATAAAGGTGGGCAAGAGGCAGATTGTGATGGGTTTTAAATGCCAGGAATTTGTATTTTATCTTAGAAATAATAAAGAGGGAGCCATTAGAGCTTTTTGAGCAAGACAGTGACATGGTCAGAGCTGTAGAGAATGGATTGGGGAGGGAGACTTGAGGAAGGGTGTACAATTAGTAAGTTATTCAATAAATTAACAATTAAGTGCCTACTATGTGCCAGGCATTGTGCTATGTGCTGTAGATAAGCTATTCACAAGAAGCTTACATTCCAATGGGGAAATAATAAATATATGTATAAACAGATACAGAATAAATATAAAGCCAATACAAATAAATACAAAGTAGTTAATTACAAGGTAGGAGGTAGGGTACCAGTAGTTGGGGAGGTCATGAAAAATTTCATAAGGAAGATGATGCCTGAGCTGTGCCCAAAACGAAGAGAGTGTTCCACGAAGCACAGATGAAGAGCAAGTGCGTTCTAGGAATGGGGGTGGGGCAGCCAATGCAAAGGCAGGGAGATAAGAAATGGAGTGCTAGATCACAGAACATAGGATGTACAGTGAGTCTGAAAAGATAAGTTGGGGTCAGATTCCGAAGGGCTTTAAAAGCTAAACAGAAAAGCTGAGTTTACTGAGTAGAGGAGAGAAATAATCAGACAAGTACTTCAGCAGAATGGGAGATGGACAAAAGTGGGGAGTGATCTGATGCAAAAAGACCAATTAGGAAGCTATCAAAACAATTTGGGCAAGGGGTGATAAAGACCTAAACTAAGGGGGTGGTGGTATGACTAGCAAAGCTTAAGACATGAGAGAGCATCAACCTGGAAGAGTGGTGGTGCCTTCAACAGAAACAGGAAAGTTTAGAAGAGAACTAGGTTTTGGGGGAAAGAGAATGAATTCTGTTTTGGACATGCCGAGTTTGAGATATCTTCAAATCCAGTTTGAAATGTCCATTAAGCAAATGGGGATGCAGAGCTGAAGCTGACGGTGGACAGATAGGATAGACTCCTGGGAGATCTATCCTATTACTTCATTAATCTCCTTTGCCCTCATCAACATCTCCAATCTTTTCATTCCTCATTCCTTTATCAGGTCATTACTCCTGCTCTGACTTGACTTCAATCCCTCTCTAATTATGATTGTATAGTTCATCATTTCAGCTCAACATTTTCTTCTACTTTTGAGTTTTTTTTGTTTTCTGTTTTTTGCTAGGCAATGGGGTTAAGTGACTTGCCCAGGGTCACATAGCTAGTAAGTGTTATGTGTCTGAGGCCGCATTTGAACTCAGGTCTTCCTGACTCCAAGGCCAGTGCTCTATCCACTGTGCCACCTAGCTGCCCCTTTCTTCTACTTTTGAATAGACGATAAATGCCTTGCTAACAGGAACTGTTTTATTCACTATATTTCTACTTTCAGTACCCAGTATAGTACCTGACACATAGTAAGCATTTAGTAAACACTTGTTGATTGATTATAGAGTTAATAGGGTAGTGATTGGGAATATAGGTGACATGAAATGATAGGAAGTTATTGTCAAACACAAGAATGTCAATTTTTGATTAAGTTGAACACTTATGAGTAAAGGTGAGATCCAAGTTATTGTAATAATTCAAGGAAGAGGCAATGTAGGTCTGAACTGGTGGTAGCTATGTGGGTGGAGAAGGGATGGATGGTAGAAGAAAAGGGTTTGTTTTGTTCTGTCCTTAATTCTGTGACTTTGGCCACCTCTCTGAAAAATATGAGGTACAGGAGCTGTCTGACCAGTCAAATTTACATTTGAGTTATAAGGCCTTCTTCCATTTTTTTCATCTCTTTTTAGGCATGCTTGAAGGGCAGTTTTCTACATATATACACAACTAGTTAAATAACTACACAATGAAATAAAATCAAACTTACATTTATTTCAATAAAGATGTGTCCATTTTAAACTTGTTCATTTATTTTCCAGCAAATTATGCTTATTTCCTTTTACTTAAAAAAAAGCACTATATATATACACACACACACACACACACAACTACATATATACACACATATACATATACACACACAAACTTATACACACACACATATATTATATATGTGTACGTGTACACACACACACACACACACACACACATAGTGTTATTTTGTATGATTCCCACTACAGGCAATTCTTTTGCAGCCCAAAATTTTAAATGCAAACTTTTAAAAGCAAAGATAGGCTATATGAAAACCACTGCCTAAACTGTCCTAAGGACAGTTATGGGAACCTTGAATTTTGCTGACCTGTGACTACATTTACATCAACAATATTACATTTTGTATAGTGATGCTATTACAACTTCCTTCAGAGTAAGATTTACAGACCACTTTGTCTGCTCTATTACAAAGTTTATACATGTGTGCACCACACACACATACACACACACGAGATAAAATAAATCTAGATATCAAATCTTGTTGAAACTATCAAGGTGGTGAGATTGGTCACTTTTCTCTTATTAGTATATCAACTAATTGATGTAACTATCAATTATATCAGAGTTAGTAAGCATTTGAAATTTGTAAGGTTCCTATTTTCTTTGTTGCCAGGTTCCCACACAGGTAGGGGTTACAGAGAACTCTTTCAAGTTGATGTACTGAAAGGACTTAAGGAAAAACTTTCTTGAATTGATTATTGATGTTTCTCCCTAATCTCCTGTTGCAGTTTATATTTTCAAGCTAGTGGCATTTTTTCTGTATGTTCCTTTGTTACAAAATAATATTTTTAGAATTCAAATTTAAGAATTACAGAGTAGTAACAGAACAAATTTAATAGCTTAGGTGAGAAAGTAAATGAAATTGTGTTATAATGCTTTATTTCTGAGCAATCAATATCTAAGAAAATTACCCTTTTCCTCCAGAAGAAGCACCACAGCATGGGTGTCGAAGTAGAGCTTCTTACTCCCTGAAGAGGTGAAAAGAGGTAACTTTTTTGCTTCTTGTTGTGACCTAGTAGAAATGCTCAGATCTAGGAAGGAAAGGAAAACACAAGGTCAAAAAATAGAACACATCTAATATCAAGCAGAGGCAATATAATAATGTGAAATGAAGCATTCATAAAAGTGCATTACCTTAGAAAGATACTATCAAATAGCTTATATGCTTTAAAAAAATACTTTTAACACAAAGAAGAGCCATTCACTAAACTAATCTCAGCTCTTAAGTTTAAAGTCCTAGAATCTTCAGCCACAGAAATCACCCAAGCAGTTGGAAAAGATACCTCTGAAGCTGTCTTTATTCCTTAAATACTGCAAAAGAAAACTCAGAATCTATCAGGGATGTTACCTCTGGGAATTCCTGTGCAAATGGGAAGTTGTAACAGATAATCTCTAATGTTCCTTTCAAACTATAAGATTTTATGATTCTATGAAAATGGAAATAATATGAAAGAAACAATGATGCTCTCCCTTCTCCTTTATACCTAAATTCCCTAAAATCTAACACTAAGTTGGTACTTCATTATTTCACTTTACTCTCAAGCTTAGACTTGGGTCTAGCCTCCAATGGAGAATTTCTATCTCTTTCACCTTCTATTTATTAAAACTGATGATTTTTTACCCCCATGGGGGCAAGGAGCTTGCAAATATCAACAGATCTTTGGCATTAGATTATTCCAGTTTAAATTTCTAATATAATAATCATCTACGAGAACAAAAAAAAAACCTAGAAAAATTAGAATAAAACTGCAAATGCATTCCAGGCAAAAAAATAATCCTGCTCTGCATAGTGCTTGTAGATTTTGGACTGAGATTATAATAAAGGGTACTTGGTCCAAGAATGTTACAATGAATGTCACTTTATGAAATGTTAAATATTTGTTCCATTTGCCACCCCTACCCACCATAGACTAGAGGTATAAACTCACTTTAGTCAACTATGTATCTAATGGTAACACATTTAGTATTTGGGATAACAATTTTTCTTCAATAACGATGGAAATGGAAGATTTTGTCAATCAACTATAAATGAATAGATTTCATTGAATTAAAGTTTCAACAAGGCTCAGTCTATTTAGTTCTTCTCAAGCAGCTCTTAGCATATTAAAAGGAATATTTTGAATACCTTTTCAAAACAAAAAAAGTAAGCAATGGGAAGAGCACTGGCTCTAGAGGTAGAGGAACTGGCTTCAAAATCTACCAAACACTCTCTTAGTAACCCTGGACAGTCAATTAACTTCCTTGGGTTTCCACATCTGTAAAATATGGGGGTTGAATTACATAGCCTCTCAAGTCTTCTTCCAGCTCTAGATCTGTGATCAATTTAACTTTTCATTTTCAAAGCATACCTTCTTGAAAAAAAAGAGGCCACTAATAAAAAAAGGCAAATAATAAACCAGTGAGCAGAGAACAGAGTTAATGCTCTCATCTATCACTGGGCACCAACTCCGGCTGTTTCCTTGCTGGGATCCTTTTTGTTTTTGTCTTCCTCCATTTCTCTTTGAATTTATTTACTGGTCATTAAGGAAAAATAATATCAGTGTAAGGGGTGGAGATGCCTGAAGGCAAAAAAAAAAGTTATGTGATTAATGGCCTTGCTAGTGATACCACATTGTTAATAACATCAAGAAAGTTGGCAAATCAGCGGGAGAAACTGGAACACACTTCCCAATCCACAATCCTGTGTTATGAATATTACACAAATCAGATTTTCCCAAGGAGTCTCAGGGGGGCACCAACAAGCATGACTACGTAATCAAAGTTTAATACAGTTAAGACCAAATACTTCTGGCTCAGCACTGCTAGATGACCTTGGGACCAGTGACTACTGAACCATGTACAAACAGGACTAACTATCATCTCTCCTCAAGACAGCAGTACAGCTGACCTTTGGCAATTCTAACCCCCCTCAGTAACCAGAAGCAATTTAGTAGGATTTAGGGCTATTTAAACTTCTGCATCTTAATACGTCTAAAATTTCAAGTTAACTGGAAAAAACTCTCTTCGTTTTCCTCCTCGAAATCTGAAAGCCAACCTCCCCCCTCCCCAATCCTGTCTTTAGAAAAAAAAAAAGCTCATTTCATTTGTAGGTGAAAAAATAAAAGGTCAGAAAACCAGAGATGTCAGATCAAGGTGCCTTTCCACAATCAATCCATGTCCAAGATCCTCTTCGGCTTAGATGCCGGCCTCCTCCCCATGCCCCGCCCATTAATGACTAAAACCACACACACCCTGGGTGCACGGGCATCGGCGTTACTACCACCACTTCTCAGCTGAGGCAGCTGACTACCTGGGTCAGCGCAGTTTTTCCTTGATGAGTCAGGGGCCCTTTGCTGTTTCTCTCTTTCTTCGACCCCGTTGTCCTCCTCCTCCTTCCGCGAGGGTTGCGATGAGGCTGCGGCATCCGCGTGCTTCCCGGGGGCCGGGGCTCGCGGCCTCCCCCGCCCCCCTCTGCCCTCCCTGCCTCCCTCTCACCTCTCCTCGCAGGAGCCAACGCCGGGAAGCTGCACGGGTGAAGGGGGCCGACGACGCTGGGGACGAGGCACGACTTGCACCACCGCGACTGGCCGCCGCCGCCTCTCAGCCCCGTGCCCGCGGGGGGCCGCCCCAAGACGGCGGCCGCGGCCGGCGGCTGCAGGCGAGGAGGCGCGCGTTCGAGCTCATCCGCCCGGCTCCGGCTGCGGCTCCCAGCCGTCTCGCGAGGTCCCGGGCGCGAGCTCTCCCAGTCTCCAAGGTGACGGCGCGGGGTCGCCGCCGCCGCGAGCCGAGGGCAGGGCAGGAGGAAGAGGAACAGCAGCGGGGAGGCGCGCGACAGGCCGCCGAGGCCTACAGACGAGCTAGGGGGCAGCCCTTGGAAACCCGCCGGGGAGGCAGACAACCCGCGGAGGCTCCGGAAACAGCCGCCGCCATAGGTCCCCCACCGCCTCCTGGGCCGCAGCAGCAGCAGCAGCAGCAGCCGCCGCCGCCGCCGCCGCTGGGTCTGCGGGGGCCCGTTCGGCCCGACGCCGGCGACGGCTTCCTCGGCCATCGTTGACGCGCTCGCTCACTGGTCCCAATACGCGTTCATCCCTCGCCCGCCTCCAGCCCCGTCCCACTAGCCTTCCAGAGCTGGGAGTCGAGTAGAAGTAGGAGTGACAGCAACTGTCAGACGCTGGACGCGGTCCCGCCCTTTCCTGCGGGGGCGGGGCCTAGCCTCGGGCTCTGGGCTTGCTCCCCCGCCAGAGGAGAGGGGTGTGGCCTGGAGCTGCGCGGGGGCGGGGCCTCGCCCCCGCCCCGCCCCTGGTCCCCGTTCCTCTTCTCCAGCTGTGGAGCCAGGGAGGCTGAGGCTTCCTGGGCTCTTCCCTCTGTGCCCAGCATCCGAAGGCAGGTTGGGAAAGTTGAGTCACCCGAGCTCTAAGCTATGGCAGAGAAGGATAACTGGCTGTTGTTGTCAGTGTTAGGGAGTAACGCAGCCTTCAGAGGAAACAACATCCCGAGGCTTGTGAAAAGTTCATCAACTGAACAGTGGGCTGATTTGTCTTGCTTTGAGTATTCTTATTTGTTGCTGGGGAGAGATTCTCTTTTGGGGATGGGTAGTTAATAACGAGAGAGACAGAGAGAAAAAGAATCGTCAATAAAACATTAAAAACGCAAGAAAACAAAAGTTCAGCAAGAGTCATAAAGTGGGCAACTTTTAGCTTTGCTAAACAACATTAAAAAAACAGACTAGGTAGCAAGGTCATGGTTTCATATACAATCCTTATTTTTATGCTTTTTGTACTGAAATGTTTGAGTTTCATGATGAAGTTTTCTTAAAGTCTCTGTAGCCACCCTTTTCTCTAGTTTCCTCTTTTCTTCATTTTCAGCACAAAAATACCCCCATAACCAATTGACTGGGGGTGTTGAGCTACATGACCTCTTAGGTCCCTTCCAGCTCTCAGAATGATCCTCTGGTCCTAATTATTTGATTGCCAGAAATAAACCAAGGGTGGGATGAATGTTGCCAAGTTTGAGGATAGCACTGAGTATTCTGTAACTTTTGTTGTTCTTGGGCTTAAAGCAGCATAGCGATGAAAATGTGACAGTTAGGAATGTGGTGAACCAATTGGAAGCCCATGTAATAAATAGCAAGAAGGGTAGTTGAAATCAACCTCTAATGTTTATTAGAGATTATTGGGGCTATATGTTCATCATCATTCCCAGTTTAGGGACAAAAACAGTTCTAGCCAGTGCCATATAGCAGGGAATTGCAACTATGGAGTTTTCAGTTTGTGTCGGAAGTGAATATGACCCCTCAAGATTCTGGGTCTCTGGATCTCTTTGGCCCTGATAAGTTTCAGTCTCCTTGTAGCCAAGTTAAAGGTATGGTAAAATCATGAGAACAGACAAAAGCCTACTGCATGGACAGGTAAGGCTTGATAAAGAGTACAGGTATATTATAAAAGAAATATAATGTGTTTATTGTGCTTCAAGTTTCTGTTTTGAGAAATTTGGGGGTTCTGGGTATTTTCCTCAAATAAATGGAATTTCCTTTCCTTTTATGACTTAAACAAGAACAAACTAGGCCTAAAAATAAATTCTGGCATTAGAAGCCCACCAGCTGACCAGCATAGTCTCCCTTATACCCCACCTCCCAAAATAGGAGTGGGTAGAGATACTGTACTACAAAGGTCCGTCTGACATTTGCCAGAATTGCCAGATGTCTTGTCAAACTTGGATCTGGCTTAGAGATTTAACTTTCATTTTAAATTCATTTTATTAGCAAAAATTTATTTATCATTTACTATATGTAGTGGTATCGTGTCATAGCTGGCCTTGGAATCTGGAAGATCAGAGTTCAAATCCTTCTGACACAGAACTGGCTGTGTTGCCCTGGCAAATTTCCTGACTTCATGATATTTCAACACACACACACAGACACACCCTTCTCCCTAAAGAAGAAAAGCCATTCCATTAGTCCCAGACTCCCTTCCAAAGAAAAGAAGAAAGGCCATTCATCCCATCAAATCTCCAGCCTAGTCTCCGTCTCCTGCCCTGGAAGAAGGGGAATAATACCCGTTCCTTTGGCTCTAAGTACTGGGTCCCTTGCCTGAATTGTGTAAGGCCCTGAGAGAACTCTACCTTGATGCCAAACCCTAATAGACAATAATGAAAATCTATTTAAACTTTCCTCAGTAAACTCCCCCATGTTTATACCTTCCCCATCCCAGTGATTCTTAATCTCCAGAGGTCTTCATTCAAATACTATCTTCCAATCCCTAATTCTCATTCTTTTCAAATTCCTCCTAATTCTAAAGCCACCCCTCTAACTATGCTCTCTGGAATGCCAGTTCCATAGACAAGAAACTTGCTTTCAATTTAAATCTTTTTCCTTTCCCACTCCTTCCATCTAGTGGCTCTCAATGAGACCTGGCTCCCTCCTGGGACACAACCTCTCTCGACCATCCTTTCTAGCAATGGCTGTACTTAAACTTTTCCCCTAACTCACTGGTCCAGCTTGGGAGTTGGAATGTTCTTTGCTCCCCATTGCTACTTGCTGGCTCTCCTTCTACCATTATCACTCTGTAACCTTTCCTCCTTTGAGCTTCACTCAATCCATATCTTCCACTCAATTACAATTCTGGTAGCTGTTGTCTGCTGACTACTAGGACACTCTCCTTTCCCCCATGAGTTTAGTGCCTGGCTCAATCTTTCTTGCCTCTCCAACTTCTTCCCTCATACCAGGGGATATAAGTATGCATATTGATACTCCTTCAACCACCCTAACCTCACAGATCACCAACTTATTTGTTTCACATGACCTATTTTATTCCTTCTCACCTTAGTCACACCATAAAGATTGTCATAATTTTAATCTTGCCATCAAAAATACTCTACTTCTCTGTTCATGAACTCTGAGATTCCCATATGTGATCACAATCTAATGTCATTTCACCTTTCCCTCTGCTTTTGCAATGCCAAACCCTGTTTTTCCTCCATGCTGTGACCTCAAATCCCTTCACCCCTCAATTTTCTCCCAGGCTATTGTCTCTGCACTAGCTACACTCTTCTTCCTTTTCTGATCTTGACCCTTTGGTGAATCAGTACAACTCTATGCTGTCTCCTCTTGAGTCCCTGGCCTCTTTAAGATATTATTAATCATTCCCTGCCAAGCCTCAGCCTTGGATAACTGGCCATCCAATGCATCTGCTCCTTCACATGTGCTGCTGAACAAAGCTGAATACAATCACTAAATCATGTAGACTGGATCCACTATAAATTTGTTATATAACCTCTATTGGACCCTAATTGTTTGCAAAGCAATCCCTTTACATTTTCCTAATTCACTGTCCCACTCACAACTTCTTCCAAATCTTTTTATCCCTCTCCAAACCTTTTATGGTTTCCCTAGCTCCATCATCTTCTCAGCTAAGAACCTTGCCTCACAGTTTACTGAAAATATTTAACAGCATTTACTGAAAGCTCCATCTTTCACCCTCTTCATCTCTGTCACCCAGGTGCTTTCTATCACTATCTCCTCCATCCCATCTCACATGAAGGGGAGGGTCTCACTCTTTGCCAATGCAAACCCCTCTACCTACACAAGTAATTCCATTCTATTTTGTCTCCTTCAGCAGATTGTCCCCTTAATCATCCCCACCTTAACTTCTCTTCAATCTCTCGCTGTCTACTGGTCATTTCTCTACTACCTACAAACATGCCTATGCCTCCCCTGCCCACAAAAACCCTCACTTGACCCATGTACCCCCAATAATTATTGTCACATATCTCTTCTCCCTTTTGTGTCTAAACTCCTTGAAGTCATCTATAATGGGTGTCTTTCCTTTTACTCTCTGTACTAGCTATAGTCTGGTTTCCAACCACATTCAATTTATACTGCTCTTTCCAAAGTTACTAATAATCTCTTAATTGCAAAATCTAATGACCTTTTATAAGTTTTCTTCCTTCTTGACCTTTCTGCAACCTTTGGCACTGTTGATCACTCTTTTTTTTGGGGGGGCTAGGCAATGGGTTAAGTGACTGATCACTCTCTTCTTGATACTATCTTCTGTCTTGTTTTTTTCTTTCCATGTTCTCCTACCTACCTGACTACTCCTTAATCTCCCTTGCTGATCTTCATCCAGGTCATGCAGCTAAGGCTGAAAGGACTCTTCTTATATTGTTGCACTTGATATCATCTATTCCCATGGATTCAATTATCATCTCTGCAGATGATTCTCAAATCCACTTATCTAGTCCTAACCTCTCTTTTGACCTCCAGTCTGGCATCTCTGTGATGTTTAAAAAGTTTGAAGACTTGGTTTCTGGGCAGTTAATCATTTTATTAACAATGCTAGCATACTGTTTATAAAAGAGGTCAATGGAACTCTCAGATGCCAAAGACCTTCATGGTGGTGGACTCACAGTTTATATGCCCTTCGAAGAGTGAGTGTTCTTGAGGGTGGCAATCAATCTAATTGGCTAACAATGAGAAAATGAATATTAAAGTGAGATGTGGGCTCATTCTGATGAGGGTTTTGGGGTTATATGACTTGGATCACCCAAGTCTTGGTCAAAGAGACTTATCAATATACATATCAAAGAAGGACTCCACTTCTACTCCAGACCTGTCTGACCAAACACAATGAACAGCAATTCACCAATTCTCTCAGCCTGGTTGGGTAAGTTTTTCCCAAAATTTCCTACAATGAATAAGGAAGTGGAAAGCCCTTTAATCCTAATTCAATAATTGGTTATTAATATAAGAAAGAAAGAATCATTTCCCTTTTTTTAAATTTTATTTTTATTTTGATTTATTAACAATCACTTCCATATGCTTTTGAGTTGAAAATTTTTCTCACCCTTCCTCCCCCCAACCCTCCCCAAGACAGCGCACAATCTGATATAGGCTTTACATTTACATATCCATTAAACATGTTTTCACATTAGTGAAGTTGTAAGTAAAAATTAAAATCAATAGAAGGAACCATCAGAAAGATGAAACAAAACTCAACAGAAGGTAAAAATAAGTCGTAATGATTCAACTTCCATAGTAAGAATCATTTCTCTCATCTCCAGCTTCCTCTTGGACATCTTGAACTAGATGCCTTGTAGAGTACTTAAACGCAGAATGTCCAAAACTGAACTCATTGTCTTCTCTCCACTAGCCTTCCCTATTCCCTATTACTGTCAACTGCATGACCATCCTCTCAGTGACCCACGGTAGGTATCATTCTTGACTTTTTACTATATTTCAACCCCCACCCCACCCTCCACATACCCAGTCTGTTGCCAAGGCCGGCAGTTTAACCTTTGCAACATCTCTCAAATACACTCTCTTCTTTCTTTTGACATTGTCAACACCCTGGTAGAGGCCCTCATCTCATGCCTAGACTATTGAAATAGTCTGCTGTTCGGTCTCCTGCTACAAGTCTCTTCCTATGCCAGTCCACCTTCCACTCTGCTGTTAAAGCGATCTTCCTAAAGTGCAGATTTGACCATGTCACTATCCTCAATAAACTCCAGTAGCTTGCTGTCATACCCAGGATCAAATTTGAACATCTTCCTTTTGGCATTCAAAGCCCTTCATAACCTTTCTCCCCTTCATTTTCCAGTTTTCTTACATTTTAGCCACGCCCACTCTGAAGGTATACTGTGATCCACCTGACTTGGTATTTCGTAAACCAAGACACTCCATTTTCAGACTCCAGGTATTTTTACTAGCTGTCCTTCATATCTGGAATGCTTTCCTTTCTAATCTCTTCCTCCTGGCTTCCCTTAAGTCCCAGCTAAAATTTCATCTTCAACAGGAAGCTTTTTCTCAAGTCTTCTTGATTCTAATGCCTTCCCTCTGCTGATCATTTCCAGTTTATCTCATTTGTCTCCCCATATGACTGTGAGCCCTCAAGAGCAGAGACTGTCCTTAACCTTTTGGTGTATCCCCAGCATTTAGTGCAATGCCTGGCACATAGTAGGCATTAAATAAATGTTTATTAACTAAATACCTCAGTGCTCCAGGCAACTCTCCAAAAATCATTGTGGAAATGTGCCAACTTGCATTGGTAGACGGACTACTGTATACCAAGGAAATCATAATGCTAGTACCTGTACCTATCCTTATATGTGGATCATTGGTGTTAGAAAATCTGAAAAATCTGCTGTAGGAGTGTGTGAAGGAAAGCCTTTACTAGCTTCTTTCTAGAAGCGGGCACACTGCACCCTAGTGGTAGAGCCAACTTTTAAATGGTTAGTAAAATCCATACTCCTCCCATTTGAGCTGGGATTGGATTACACTCTTCCTGAACTGCCCATCCCATGTTACTCCTTATCATGTTTGTCCATCCTGGTTCATATGTCCCATGTTAAAAAATGGCAGCTATCTCCACCCTCAGGCTGTGTTAGTTAATATTCAATAAGCTCCTTGAGCAAATGCAGGGGAGAAAAGCCTTTGCTCAGTCCTTGACCCTGGTTTAG